TTCAAAATTAAATTACAGATGATAATTACCTTACTCTTAGGGATAATTGAGACATCAATGCTCAATTGAGTCTAAGGTTATTTACAAGATGAATTATTAAGCAACATAATAAGTTTAACAGAACTCGGGATTTTCCACCAGGCAGTGAGAGAGTAGCACGGACCTGCTTCTTTCTCTAGATCTTTTGGATACCTCGGAGATATACTAAACTTAATATATTTTGCTTGGCAACATCATCCTTAATTAAACTCCTAAGGACCCACCAAGATATGACCTAGGGTTAGATAGGTTGTTAAAATTTTACTTCCCTATTTCATATAAACTGCCTTAACATGTCTTTTGAGTTTCAGGTGGTTTAAGTTTCAAGTGATGAAACGAGAAGACTCGCCAGGTACGCTTTTACGGTTTTCAATGATGTTTTTCTTGTACTTTCATATTGTACTTTTATACCTGCAAATTTGCATGCTAAATAACGACGCCACTCTGCATGAAAACTAAAATTATTAGAATAGCCACAAAACCAAAACCAAAACCAAAATCAAAATTAAAACTAAAATCAACCAAGATAAAATTTACCCCCACAACATTCAAAATATAAAACAACTCAAAATTTAATCACAAACATCACACAAAACTACAATTGCAACTAAATTAAGATGTTTCAATCGGATGGGGAATTCCTCGAAGGAGGTAACAGAGGTAACATACGGTTGCTAACAAAACTTCTCATGATTTAAATAAAATTATGGAACTCATTATATTGAGCTTAGTAAGTTCATTTAGACTAGGTAAATCCAATAGAAAATAATGGTGCTGGAACAAGGGAACCGTAGGATCCTAACCGGTGTTGCTCTAATCAACTTTAACATGCCCCCATAAAATTTAAAGAACTTCATCCATAGGGCCACCTGATTTAATATCATAACTTGACACACTAGAAAACTCAAACTCGTCGCGACAAGGAGCTTGGAGCTAGCATGGTGGGCAGCATGACCATCTTCCCCAGCTAAACCAATTTTCCTTCCTTAGACTTAAACAACAAAACCATAGGACTTCAAGGTTGTTTGCTTATGCAACATAAATCCTCACCTTATCTTATCCTTAGGCCTTTGCATAGCTCTGTTATACAATATAAGCCCTAATTCGTCTTAGGATTCTGAGGTTGTCCTAAACCCTCACATCTTTCAGGCTATTTATGTGATCGTTTCACACGAATATAAGCCCTAACTAATAAAATTGGCAGGATGAAACACTTAAATATTTCTCCTCAAAGCTAAAGCCAAACATTATGATAGCTTGGGAAGTCACCGAGGTTCTCCTCTGGATCAATGACATCCCCTAGTTCTTTCTTCTTTGGACTCTATAAGATGTTTCAAATTTGAACCAATCCCCTTTCACACTTCTACGTCAGATCTCATTCAAAAGTCCAACCCTTTGAAACTCCTTGAAGATAATATTTCCTGATTTTTATTGAGAGTCTTCTTAAGTGACTTTGGTCATTTAAGATGTAATTAACTATAGGGGCTTGTCATTATAGGAAGCTTTTCTCAAACTTCTCAAACTCAGCTTAATATACAGCTTAATATAAACCCTATTTAATTCTTTATATTAAATAGGGGAACTTGTCAACAAATAAAATAGTTTTACAGACCAAACATATGTCATATATCCCTTAGTTTGTTTAATCGAGCCTCATCTTCAAGTCTTATGTTTATCCTTCGGGATAGATACATGATTTGAGGTACAACGCTCTTTTATTTAAACTATGAAAAATATGGTGTCAGTTTGATTTCATATTTTTTTAAAACCAAATATATATGTAAATTAAAACATCCTTCTGAAGCGGGCGACGAGATTTTGATTCCAGTGACCGACAGCTTCTTACGGACAACTCCTCCAACCAAAAATAGTGCTAAACCCGATCCTAATTCTTTACATAAATGAATTTAGAATTAAGGTACAAGACACAAGTAAACAACTCCTAGTCCCCATCACGTGGTTCTGCATGCCTGGTACCTCGGAACTTGCGCCCTACCTTATTTCTAATACAGTCTCTTTATAGGGATCTAAAAATGTACAAAGGAAAGAATAAAATATGACTTAACCTGCACGAAAATAATGTCAGCAAGAAAGTAAAACAAGCATGTAGTGTATCTGGGTCATACATGGTAGGAGAGCTAAGTAGTGTTTGCAGAAAGTTTAGCAATAATCATTACGTTGCTCCCCTTCCTTATTGTAGATGTGTGTGTACATATATATGACATGCCCCCCTACATAAGTCCTCCCTAATATACTGTTATGCATATCAAAACAAACATGCACATGCACACCAAAAAAACATAAAAGTGACGCATTGGTATAACAAACAAGCCAACAAAGAACAATGACCATAGGCATCGAAAATACAACACAATATCCTAATCTTAGCCTAACACACCATCTAATGAAAAATGTCCTAACAAAAATCTAAGTGCTCAGGCTAAGTCTCCAGGTACATATGACTTTGACGGGGTCACCACACCGGCCCCATCCTGAGGATCTAAGGGGTTTAAAAGGTGTCACCGCTGTTGGATTTTGAAAATAGTCAATCTTAAATATGGTCAAGTTTTCTACATGCATAATTTTAAATTTATGACAAATGTAATAAGTAGAAAAAATAAATATTTTTTTTGTTTTAAAATAAGGGTCATTAAATGCAGACATATAACATTCAAGGTGACATGAGTTTGATCCACATGATCCTTAGCACGGTGATACTTATGTCAGTCTCGATGTTGTACTCACATTACTTGTAGGGTTCAACCCGACCAGTAATGCTCGGTAAGGCATCACAATCAACGTGGGGTCACTCGCATATCGAGTCTAACTCTTTATCTATGTACTCATGCAAATTCAAATGCGAACAATCATAAATAAGAGTGGTAAGGGTGAATGTGTAGTACATATAATGACTCAAAAAGGTGGGGTGTCGTGAAGGTAATGACTTGAAATGGGCGTGTCATGGAGAAAGGTGTCTAAATAATGGGTGTGTCGTGGAGGCAGTGACCCAAAAGGGTGGGCGTGTCGTAGAGGCAGCTAATCAAAGAAATAAGTATGTCGTTGAAGCAGTGACCCAAAAAGGGTGAGAGTGTAGTAGAGGCAGTAACCCAAAGGATGGGTGTACCGTGGAGGCAGTGACTCGGAAGAGTGGATATGTTGTAAAGACAATAACTCAAAGGATGGGTGTGTCGTGGAGGCAGTAACCCGGAAAGGGTGAACTTTTCATAGAGGCAACGACTTGAAGAATAGGTGTGCTGTAGAGATTGTGACTTGAAAGGGGTGGGTTTTCCATAGAGGCAACAACCCAAAGGATGAGTGTGTTGCGGAGATAGTGACCCCAAATGATAGATGTGCCATGGCAACAACCAAAAATGAATGCTTATGATGGTCTGGAGTTGTGTCGTAGGAAGTTTAGGGATGTAACTCCCATTACAGAGAATTACACTATGCATTAGCTCGATGACTAGCCATCCATTCACATGATGTGTGAATGTGAGGGATAAGTGTATGGAAAACTTAAATCCAAGTGCAATACATACAAATTTACAAGTCATGAAACATGCAGGGTGCTAGACAAGCAAATACATAAAGGTGGGAGTTGCAGGTGTGAACCACCTGTGACATAGTGCTAAGTGACATGAGGATGCCACAAAGCAAATGTGGAGTAATGTGTCGTTAAGAGGCGCAAGTACTCGTCGTGAGCAAATGAGGGTATATGCTCACTGATGCATGATCAAGGTGCAAGTGGTGAATGCGCTAATACAAAAGCATGCAATCAAACACCATGCAAGTGAAATTGGATGTTCAACCTGCGGGATTGACCGGGTAGGTCAACCCGGGGAAATGTAGCTAACGACTCAGTAGAGCTAAGGCCGATTGGACCAAAATGATTAGCTGACCGGGCCGAGGCAGCAGGTCCGACCAAAATGTTCGATTGATCGGGTCAGGAATTCCAGCTGGTCCAAAGTGGTCGGTCAACCGGGGCAAGCGATCGATCGAGCCAAAGTGATCGATCGCTGGGTTGGGGAGGACAATCAGACGTAAGTGAGCGATCGATTGGGCCAGGGCGGCTGGTCAGACCTAAGTGACCATTCAACAGGGCTAGGGCAGCCTGCAGTGCTAAAGTGATCAGTCAAACATGCCAAGGTGGCCGACCGAACCTAAGTGATTGGTTGATCTGGTTGGGACAGCCAGTTGAGCCAAAGTGATCAGTTCAACAGGTCGGGGCTGTCGACTGAGCCAAGTGATTGATCAATGTGGTCCGGGCAGCCGATCGAACCTAAGGGATTGGTCGACCGTGCCCGAGTAGCTGGTAGGACCTAAGAGATCGGTCGACCGGGTCGTGCCAGCCGACCAAGCCAAAGTGATCCGTCAACCAGGTTAGGGTGTCTTATCAAGCTAAAGTAAGAGACTGATCGTGTCAAGGTGACTGTTCAAGCCAATGTGTAATGCAACATGCAAAGTGCATGATGTAACACAAACCCAATATGATGGGAGTAATGACGATTTATAGTGAGTCACACTCGTGCTAACGTCCTCGCTTAGCTACCTATGGTTTAGCTCTTGGATATGTGACATAACCACCTTCTGCTTTGGCAAGGCCTATGTGGAGCTTCACCTTAAATTTTTCAAAAATAAACTCTCCACAATATTGTGAAATGGACTAGCTGTAAAGCTAAAAAGCTTTTCTCATTTCACAAAAATCCAAATGTCTGAACCCCTCCAAGGAGGATTGGAAATGTCAAAGCATGAAAAAATTGGAATTCTGATCCGCTTAGGTGTAGACATAAAGGTTCACAAGAGAATCTCTTAGATTCACTCAGATTGTGTCCAACGAAAGCTTCCTAACCTAGGATTTCCTCTAAGAAATCAACGACCAATCAATAGGCGTATGACCATGTCGGCCGACCAACCGACCTAGTGTGTGTGACCAAACTCACAAAACTTAGTAAAAACTACTCCTAGTGTTGTCTAATAAGGAAAACACGAGGGATTTCAGAGAATCTCACTGTCACAAAAAGTTGATTAATGTCCTAAGCTTGTGTTCTGGATGAAGCTACCCGAACAGTAGGAGAGAAGCCCACCCAAGCCCTTCCCCAAAGTAACGAGGAAGCTATCCTCGTCGGAGAGATCATCAGAGAAGTTTGCTAGAGTTCTCCTTCTCCAACGTAAGATGATGCCCTCCTCGCTGGAGAGACTGTGAGTTCGCTAAAATCCTCCTTCCTCAATGCTATGAAGAAGCTCTCCTACCTCTTTAGGAGAGATGAAGCCTCATCCTCCAAAGTAAGGAAGAAGCTCTCATTACCAATGAGTTCTCTCCCTAACGCCTTAGCGAGCTCAGCTCACGAAGTCTGGTGAGAAGAAGAAGAAGAAGAAGGTGAAGAATAAGAGAAACTGATAAAAATCGATGGGGAAAAATAAAGGAAGAAAGCTCATTCTCCTTCCTGGCTCTTCTCTCCAAGGGAGAAGAGAAAATCCCCTCTATTCTCTACTCCCAAGCTCTTCACTCGCTCACTCAAAAAAAAAAAAAACTAGCCAGAGATCTCCTTCTCAATTGCTCTGCCCAAGGAGATATCTGATCCGCTCGAGGACAAACTCGACAACTTGCTACATGAGGAAAGGGCTATCTCCTAATCCACCCCCTCCCAAAATTCCCTTTTTTGGGTTAATAACTAGGCAAAGGATAGTTTCATGGAGTCTTGGCCACCGGATTTTGGTGGAGAAAACCATTCGCAGTTCAAAATATAAAGTTTTGAATGTTGGGCACTCGAGCACCGAATGGGGTTCAAAAGCACCCACTGCTCAATTTACGACTTTTTTTATCAGGTGCAAAAGCAACTACTGTGTCGTAGAAGCAGAGCACTCCCAGGTTGGTGACGATTTGCACGAAGAAAATTGGGCGCTCAGACGCCCACATGCCAAAAACAGTGATTCAAATATCGCCCGGGAGGAGGTGAGTGCAAAATCGCCCAACATGGGCATTTAAGCACCGAAAGGGAAAATTGTGCCATGAGGCACTAAACAAGAGCACCCAAGCGCCCCCACCCCCCTAAAAGGGGCTTGGCTCTTGCTTTTTTCCCTCTCGTGTACGCACAGCTGCATGCAGTTGGATTTTTTATGGATTCTCGCCCTACAGGGAACCATCCAAAGTAAAAATAGGTTCTCCAACAATGGAGTGGGCACCGAGCATGAGTTGCATCGAGCACAAATCACAGTCTGGAGCGAAATATGATATGTGCAGCCCAGAACCCCAAAATTTGTCAGGACGTCTGTTAAAGAGTTCTAACTGATCCTAAAGCTACTGGAAGCTCCATCTTACTAAAATATGACCCTAAAACTCCAAAATAAACATTTAAAGAGTTTCAAATTTGGGATTCTAGTGTCGACGAGCGTCCCGAACCCCCGCTCGGGTTGATTAGTTTGAATCTTTATTTTCTCAAGAATGCACGTAGGAGGGCTCCGTGACCTCCCTAGATCCCGGGGAGGCTTCGAATGGATACAAAGGGACCTCTAACCATTTGAATGGACATCAAACATGTCAAATGTCCTGAGTAGGCCCGTTCAACAATGGATTCTCTTGGGTAAGGACAAATCGTCGCAGTCTGTTTCATGTCCCGAACACATACTAAAGCTCTCATATGGGCGTCTTGAGCCACGGGTTGCTATGAATGAGAGCAGTGGATCATTCCGAGTCACCCAAGTGGACATCCTACACATGTGATATCAAAAATTGACGCCAACGATGATATCAAAATTTAGTAATCTTAAGCTATTTGGATTGTTATCATCGAGATGCTTGATTTGAGTATAAATATGTCAATTTTAGAGTTCATTTGATCATTCAGTTAATAATCCAGAGCATCCAATTGAACTTTAATTGCTTAATATGGGCTTGATTTGGCTGAGATAATATTATTTTTGTTATCATTGTGTTTTTCCTACAGAGACGATCAATTTGATTATAAACATGCTAGAATTGGGGCTTGGATGGTCATGAACTTGAATATAGAATGTCTATTACTAAAATATGCATCTAGATTTATGTTGTATGATAAAAATTTATTGATGATGCATCAGTTATCTATTTTTGAAGATTGGTGTTTGCATCATACAAAAATAAAAGTTGTTTTATGCCATAAAATCGTTAACAAATTTTTCATTTATTATGTGTTCAAATATTGAAATTTGTGAATCTAAACACTTGTGGGATTTGCATAGTTTGTAATTATCATTTTTCAAAAATGCACTCAAACATTTGATTTGTTAGGCTGTAGTGCAGACAAATATAAGATAATCTTATTGCAATCTTAATACTCATCATCAGCCATTTATAGCTTCTCAACTTCTTATTTATGACCATTTATAGTCGTTATTCCCGGTTTCTATTGCATTTGGTGCAAATTTTAGTTTCCTTGTTTCAAACAATTTATGAACCGGGAATCATAGGACCCTAATCAGCACAGGAAGCGGAACTGAACCACACAAACGTCAGAGAACACAATTAGTTCTATAAATGGATCATCACGATAGGCATTTTACTATTGAGTTAATATATAAAAAAAAGCATTCCAATGATTCCAACTAAAGTAGCATCAATGCTCGCAGTGACAATTTGCAAGAAGTTCTATTAAAATGCAATGTCTTGTATTCAATTTGAATTTATTTTTAAAATTTTTGTATTGTTTAATTTAAAAGCAATTTTTTTTATATTTAAGGTTTTTCAAGCGCTTGTCAGGATGTCTATCTTCATACACTGTCTGACCATATTAGCCAATATGACATCCCAGAGGCTTGTTAGCCTTTTTGACATGCTCGCACGAAAGTATGTGCTTTTTGTCATTTCTCTATTACTTATGTCATTGCTGAAAAATTTACATTTTCCAGTATCATGTCATAGAGATTTTGTTATTTGATGATGCAATGCTGCAGTGAAATTGTCTTAGAGGCTTTGATTTCTTATAATTTTCCACGTACTCAAAATTATCTGAAAGAAAGAATGATAAATGTCTCCATGTTTCTATTGGCCAAGCTTGAGAAGGAATGATAGCTGAGGATATGACAATTTTGCCTTAGTTTAAATTATTCTGTAAAGAAAATTTGATCCATACAACAATCTTTTTCTGTCTGTATGTTTTAAATCTTATTATTCCTTATTGAATGGAATTTAAAATTAATTGCAGTCAACAAATCTTTATATTTACGCTGAATTTTTAAGAATTGTGCTGGAAATTTTGAACTCCATTCTTACATATGCTTTGCCACAGTATCCAGAGGTATGTTCTTGAGCAACAAGTCTTTGCCTTTTGTGGTTTCTGCGAGGTGCCAAAACACATATTTTCATCCATTGCTTATTACACAGGTTGTGTATGCTGTAATGCACAGACAGGAGGTGTTTCAATCCTTCAAAAATCACCCGAAATTCCACGACTTGCTTGAAAAAGTGTGTACAGTATGTTATGATTTTCTATATATATTTCTTGAATCTTAAAACATTCACACATCAATTCCCTCTATAAGCTTTTTTGAGACTAGCTTCATTTCTTCTTTCAAATTTAACTATTTCTATAGCTTTTTCAAGGCTACCGCCATAATCAGTTTATTTATGGCGTTGTACTGTAGAAAAAATAAGCAAAAAAAGAATTTAAGGAAATTTACGTACATTCCACATAATTCTTGTGTATTTACATATAAAACACATCAACTTTCAAATTTACAGTTTTATAACACTTATGAGCATAAAATTGTGCATGAAAAAAAGAGTATTTTGCTTTTAAAAGAGAGAAACAGAGGTGTTTTTTATGTAACATTAAACATTTGGGTGTCATGTGTATAAATATAAAATTTTAGATGTTAGGCATGCAAAATACTTAACGAATGTGTGGTATGTATGTAAATGCCCCTTGTACTTTGTTGTGCGATATGTACTTCCTGACATAAAAATGAGACACAAAGAACACAAGCAAACACAGATCGTTTACTTGGTTCGATCCAACTGGATCTACGTCCACGGGAGGGAATCAATCAAATAGTTTACTAAGACAAAAGAAATGGAGAATACATAGCTTATACATAGAGATGAGGATGAGTCATCATCTTCCTTCTATGGCCTCCCTCTCAAGCGACACCTTGATATAAGGCCTCAAGATGCTCTCATCCTCTCTAGCTCTCTAGCTATTCTCTCCTCCTTTGTGGTAACTTATGATCTCTTCCCTTTCTCTCCTAAGCCTCACACCCTCTCTATTTATAGAAGCAAGAGAGTGGTAGGTGGGAGGTAGGTGGGAGGTAGGTGAGCGGTAGGTGAACGGCAGGTGAACGGCAGGTGAGATGTGGTAGGTGAGCGATACCACATTACAAAAATGTTCTTTTACCTTAGTTCATTAATTGGGGGTTAAAATAACAATTCTTCACCTTGACCCTCGATTGAGAAGCTTCGAAGTAAAGATTCCCTCCACCTGGCCCCTGAGGGGCCCTCAGCCCTTGCTTGAGTTTGTTAAGTCCAAACAATACATGGACTTAGCAATCACGGTTCTTCCGATAAGAGAGTACAACCCTTTTTTTCTAACTCCTTGTATGACGACACGAGGGTCTTTGGTTACTCTGATGCAGCCATTCTCTGCCTTGAACGAGCATCCGCTTGACTCCAAGATTTCTTTTTAGCTCTGGTACGTACCTGACATTTTTCAGTACTCGTTCAACTCCATCAAACATCCTTATCCTGATTGATCCACTTCCAACAACCCTGTGAGCTTTATTGTCTCCCAGTAGATAGGACCCATCATTTTCATGTTGCGGTGTCTCGAACCAGTCTTTGTGAGGACACATGTGGAAAGAACACCCTGAGTCGAGGATCCACTCTTTACTGGATTCAGATTCTGTGATCACGAGGGCCTCAGCAGAATCGTAGTCATCAGAGGCTACGCTTGCTTCTCTTGATTCTTCTAGCTCTTCTTGATACTTATTCTTCCTATCTGGGTAGTTCCTCTTGAAAGGACCGTCTTTGTGACAATGATAGCATTTGAAAGATCCCCTTAATGACTGATTCCCGCCATCCTTGCTTGACCTTGATATGTGCTGACCATTTCTTGAAGCTTTCCTGTCTGATCTTCCTTTGACAATAAGACTGTCTCCGCTGACTTCCTTGTCCCTGTCATGCTTCCTCTGAAGTTCTTTTGCTCTAATAAGAGATTGAACCTCCTCCAGAGTAATAGTCTGCACCCTTCCATAGAGCATCGCATCCTTGAAATGCTCGTAGCTTTTGGGAATAGAGTTTAGCAACAGTAGTGCCTTGTCCTCATCGTCCATCTTGACGTCAATGTTCTCGAGATCATCAATAATCTTGTTGAACTCGTCAATCTGCTCTGAGACAGATTTGTCTTCGTGCATTTTGAAGGAGTATAGGCGCTGCTTCAAAAAGAGTCTATTAGCCAGAGACTTTGTCAGATAAAGTACCTCTAGTTTGGCCCAAAGCGCTTGAGCCGTTGTCTCCCTCGACACCTCCCGCAGAACTTTGTCGCCCAAGCTCAGGATTATCAAACTGTGGGCCTTTTCCAGCATGTCGATCTTCTCCTTCTCGGTCATGTCGGCCAGCAATGCCGCCGACCCTTGCAAGGCTTCTGCCACCCTACTGAACCAATAAACCAATAGAGCTCTCATTTACTCTCCATAGGCCGAAGTCATTCTTCCCGTTGAATTTCTCAATGTCGAATTTGACGGAACTCATTGTCGTGGCTAGGATTTCTTCCAATGAATTCTACCTACTGGCCTTCCAAGATCTGGCAGAGATCACACCTGTTCACCGGAGAAAACTTCCTGTTCTGTGCTCGCGCCCCCTTCCCGCAAGCACTCCTCTGCGTCCAACGGAACAAATCAGGAGAATAACTGCCTCTCCAGAGTTGTCTTGCCTCGCCAAACTGCTCAGGTCCTCCTGCTTTGCAAACTCCCGAACCCTTCTCTGCGCGATCTTCGCCTCTTCCCTTTGGCCGAGCTGCTCGCAAGACCGAACTGCTGCTCCAAAATTCTCTGCTGATAGCCCTGTAGCAAATTTTTGGCCCTCGCTCGCAGACTGTTCCTCCTCCATCTCGCCGAACCGCACAACCTGCAGTGCTAATCCAGTCGATCAAAGCTTCCACTGCTCACCGAATATGTCGCAAATCGGCTGTCTGCGACGCGATCCGCTTGCTCCTCTGTTCGTGAATGCCAAGCTCCTCTTCTTCGACGCTGGCCGCGAACACCTTTACGCGGACACCTCTAGTCAAGAAGTATGGATCTTCCCACAGACGGCGCCAATTGTGAGATATTTACTTCCTTCTATGGCCTCCCTCTCAAGCAACACCTTGATACAAGGCCTCAAGATGCTCTCCTCCTCTCTAGCTGTCTAGTTATTCTCTTCTCCTTTGTGGTAGCTTAAGATCTCTTCCCTTTCTCCCCTAAGCCTCACACCCTCTCTATTTATAGAAGCAAGAGAGTGGTAGGTGGGAGGTAGGTGAGAGGTAGGTGAGATGTGGTAGGTGAGCGATACCACATTACAAAAGTGCCCTTTTACCTTAGTTCAATAATTGGGGGTCAAAGTAACATACTTATTTTTTATCCTTACTATTGAAGCAGGCATGTAATTGGAGTTAGTTCATGTTTATTATTTCACTTGGTAGTTAATTTTTTATTGAATTTCTCGTAACTTGATTGTATTTCTCTTTGTATTTCACTTTGTATTTCACTTGTTGTTGTTGTATTGTATTTTTTGTAACTTGATTTATTCAAATTGACTCCTGTTATTTTTTTTACATGCTTATCAAACAGTACTAAGACATTTACATATCTAACTCCCAAAGTATTATTAGTACGTTTATAACACTTTAGTGTCTTGAACTTGTCCATGAAAAGTATTCATGAAAAGATCTATTTCACTTTTCGAAAGTAATTAATGGTTGTATTTTTATCTAATGTTAAAGATTAAAGTTCTATGAATATAAATATGAAAGTTCAGACGTAAGATATGTAAATAGATAGGAATTGTGTGGTTATGTAGGCAAATACCACAATAATGAAAAGTTTTACCTTCTAGTTTGTAAATTGCATGTGCATGACATCTTTAGTTGTCTAAACTTCTCTTCAGGATAAATCTGATGGTGAAGAAGCTAGTTCGGTCTAATATATAACCCCACCCTCTACGCAAAAAGGAAAAAAAGGGGGTGTTATTTCTTTCCATGTGTTAAATATTATTTCCTTTTTGTAGTGTCGTAACCTTACACATAATATTGTTTGATAATATTCAAATGAACATTTGACTTAGATGAATTTAAGTTGTCCATTAAAGTAGTAAAATATCCATGAAATATCAAATGGCCTATAAGAAAATTTTTTGATGAGTGCTCCCTACATTAATTTATTACAAAGCCACTATTTTATACATTCAAGACATTTTCAACATAAAAGAAATATGGAGTTTGCATAGAATTTTAAAACCCAGCACAATATCACCTAACAATTGTTGTCAACCAAAATCAATGGTCATAGTGGACACCATCCAATGTCACTTGTAAGTTATTATCAAAGATAGGTGGCATCCTTCATTCCTCAGTTGATGGCTTTTGACCCAAATTCCTAACTACTTGATCCCTTTCTTATTAGAAGAGTGATTGTGATAGCGATCAGAGACTTCATGATCATATTAAGGTTGAAAATGGATATGATATTTATTTTATAATGCAAAAATGTAATATAGAGTTATGTATATATTTTATGCTTGTAGAGGGATGTAGTAGCGGAAGAATCAAGCCTAGCTCAATTTGAGCTCATTTGGGTTAATTTTTAATCTTTTTTTTAAAGTGTGTATTTTGCATTAAAATAACAGAAAAAAAGTTATAAAACAAACGGCCCAATATGCCCAAAAAAGAAACCAAAAAACCTATGCCCCTCGTGCATTTATAAAAGGGTCAATATCCACCTGTAAAATAAATAAAAAAAGAGTATCTTGCTTATGAACATGACACAAGACAAATCACTAGCAAAGGCTTTCTTTGCACAAGTGTGAGTAGCTATGTTGTTTTCTCTATTGGTATGAAGGAACAAAACTTGCTCGAATTTAAGCAAGAAACCAATATTTAAATTGTCGAGAATGTTATGTTGCAGTGCCTTCTTGTCCAAGGCGCTTCTAAGGAAATTAATGATGTTGTAGTTATCTCCCTCGATAATGAGCCCCTTACCTTAAGCTATCCAATCTTCAAGAAGGTTTCAAAAAATAAAACCTCCACCAACTCCACATGTATTCTGTCCCAATGGTGAAACTTGCAACCCGCAACCACCACAAGTTGTCCCAACTCGTCATGAAGAATGATCCCAGTTGCCACAAGGCTGGAAGGAAGAAGGTCCCGTCGATTTTAAATTTGATCCAACCAGGAGTGGGAGGGTGCCAAGAGGAGTGTGGTAACAGCCGCGATGGCTGGTTAGCACCCTAGTGCTTTAGTTTCAAAATAAAGTGGGGTCAGAGAGGACCTCCAACAAATTAT